TTGATGTTTAATTTTGGAGGAAAAAAAATTAGGTTGCTACATTCTGTCAGGAACTAGTCATTTAATATGTATTTATGATGTTTGTTCAATTTCTATAACTAATACTCCATCTGTTCTTTATTATAAGAGACGAATAACCGAATTACGTTGATCAAAAAAGCAGTTAAAAGTAGTTAAGAACAATCAATGTGTAAAAAATATAATTTTTTTTCCAAAAATACCCTCATTAATAAGGAGAGAGAGTATGAGAGAGAATAATTAAATTGTTGAAAGAAAGAGAAGTGAGAGGGAGAGAGTGTGTGAATTAGAGACAATAAATATGGGTACAATAGGAAATCAACACAAAAAAGTAGAGATAACTTTTAAGTGTCTCTTATATATAGGAACATACCATAAACACCAAATGTCTCTTATAATAAGGAACGGAGGGAGTACTATTTTTATTGACTGACTAAGGATATGTTTGGTGAAACAAAAAATATTTTTAAAAATTATTTTCATAGATCTTTTTTACATATTTACTCTGTATATTATAAAATTATTTTTAAAGTTTTGATTTGTTCTTCACCTAAATACTTTTCAAATCAATTTGACCATGATGCTGGGTCTTGATTATCTCACAATGTGTTGGTCTCAGAGTTTGACGTGTATCCACATATACCATGCTAAGATGACGATGACAGGACAGACTATTTATGGATGAGTTTTAAATTTGTCAAATTGTTCAAAAGCACGAAAGTTCCCAAACTCCCCTAAACTCCTTTTTTCTGTTGCAAAAATAACGTAATAAAAACAAATCAACAGCGGCTCGTGCTACTCATGTCACGTGCGTGGGGTATTTTTAGTAGTTTGGCCGTACACAAAACTATTAACTTTTTGAGTAGCCCCTGTGATTTGATGTACTCCTCCTCTTCTATCCTAAATGTAAAGATTCTTATATTATTGTGTATAAGGGTTTAACAATTATGTATAAGAGTCTTATATTTAAAATTAGAAGAGTATTTGTAAGAAGACCATCACACTTTTTTATTTTAATATGGCTAAACTATTGTTTTTTTCCCCCTAGAATGTGCTCAAGCTCGTCTGCCTCTACTTTTAATATTACCTCCGATTCTTAGTATAAGATCCTGTTTGACTTTTATTTTGGTCCTAAATATAAGATTCCAATCCATTTTGTCTCTCATATTTATACATTTTTTTCCAAAATAGTCATTCTAATATTAATAGTTATAATCAATATACTTGATTAACAATGATATTTTAAGAAAGACAATACCTGTTTAGGACAAATAACTAACTCAACTTACTTTCTTAATCTCCTCAAATTAGCCAACTGACTCTTATAATTAGAACCGGGGTAGTAATAAAATACAAGTTATGGCAAGGAGGTGATTAAAGAAAATTGTTGCCATCGTCGACATCAAATTTAAATATAGGCAAAAATATATTTTAAATCTTCTAATTTTGTACTATGTTTTTTTTAACTTGGTCAATTTAGAATCCGTTTGAAATAAGTTATGAATAATTTTTTAATTATAATTTATAAAATATAAGATAAATATATTAAAAAAATTTTGTTTCATCCCACATAAAATATGTTTATAAATATTTTTTAATGTTGTCCAAGCCGGTTGTTGGGCATAATGGGTCTGGCTCTGTGATCACGTCCAATCAAGAAGTATCTTTGTCCCCCGTCAGTTCCAATCAGAAATTGACACCTCAACACTAGGGGAACAACCTTGATGCTTCTTCTCTTGTTGACAATAATGTTAATAGGCCCAAACCCATGCTTCTGCATTCGCGGGCTCAACCGTCCATTTACACTTTTGATGGCCCTGCCCGTGTAGAAAATGGGTTTGCAAGTTCTCGACCCAATAAAACACATTTCCGATTTTCCGAATCCTTTTTTTTTTTTTTAAGGCAGAGTAATAACATAAAAGATATGCATGTTGTTACAGAGCTGAGAAGGAAATGGAGCTAGAACATAAATTAATTACGCGATGCAACATTCATCAATCTTCCCTTCTGTTCGGCTTCTTCCCTTCTCTCTCACTCTCTCTCACTCTCTCTCACACACGCATGACGCCTTATTTCAGTCAAATTATCACACAAATCTAAGGAGTTATCAAATATAGCTGTCAATGTTGGGCAAAGGTAATTGGAGGAACTAGTTTTGATGCAGTGATGAGCACCATGATATTATCTTTACGGTTAAATCTACATCATTCAGATATAGTAATTTAATAGTCTAGATTTAAAATTTTTAATGAATAAATTAAAAAATTATTTTGAAAAAACTTACAATTAAAATATCACATTTATTTTGAATTATTTACTTATTTAAAAAACATTTTTAAAAAATAAAAATAAATAAATCTCAACTGTTGACATTAAATCTAAATAATTGAGCTCTGACTTGCGATGTTGAAAAGCGGAGATGAGACAAATGGATGGGTGGGCCCCGTGTAAGTGCTGACTGGGCAGGCTTTCCCAAATTCTGTTTTATCTTATGTCGTCGTCGTCGTCACCTCGTCACAACACGGACAACTTTGTTTTTGACCTTCTCATTGCAGTACACTGGCTAGTGCACGCCACCGATGTAAAATTCAATCCCACCACCCACCGAATAGTATTACAACGACTCGTACATAGCCTCGTCCATCCGCCTACACACCCACACACCCCCATGCACGTACATGATCATTTCTCACGTCATGTGGAAGCCAGCATCCGTAGCAGAGTGTTAACGCGCCAATCTATACACACGACGGCGGCCTGCAACACTGCCATTGTTGAGCGGCGCGTTGGCGTCACACACCGGGGGTGGTTCCAGAGAGAAGCAAATGGAATAACCGCAACGAAATGAAAGCGAGGAGGCACAGTATGGAAGGAAAGCATGCAATAATAATAATAATCTCAGCGGTCAGTTGTGTACGTACGCACTGATCAAAATGGGGAGGAGAGAGAGAGGAAAATGACGTACATGAAGCAGAGGAGAGGAGAGTAGAAGGCGTGCATGGAATAGTGGGGGGAATTAAAATCACGACCTTGTAAGTTTTAACTCACCCGTTGGATTTTCCTCTTCATGCACATTGAAGGAAGAAACCATCAAAGCCATCTCAAGTTCCTGTTTTCTCCCCCTTCTCGCTTCAGAGTCTGATCTGTCCATTGTCCTTACGTATGGCGGCAAAAGATCAGGTCGAGAGGACTGATGGTTTCGTACAAACGTCTCTGTGCAGAAGATGAGTGACACCACCCTATCATAGTCTCCATTATATAACCACAGACACTGACTCGCAGCGTTTCGTTGCCTTCTCTCACCACTTTAACTCGAAAACAATATTGAAATTAACATATTATGCTGATTTGCGAGTGTGTGAAGGAAAGGATTGAAGCTTCCTATATTTCCGTGACTGCACTAAATCACCTAATTAATTAAGGCATTAAGGCGTGTTTGAATTAGTTTTAAATTTATGTAAAAAAAAATTTACCTTGATTTATGTAAAAATATTTTTTAAATTGATTCCAGTGTTTTTCAAACATCACCTTAGCTGCGTGTGTGCATATGTTGACTATGTTTGGATTGCAGTTGGAGAAGCCAAAAGTGTCTGGGGAAGCGTGAAACTGAGGTTAGTGGCTTATTGTGGTTCAGAAGATTGTTTGGATAGGGTTTCTTTTTTAACTGACTTATGGGAAAAAGTAACTTTTCTAACTGATTTATCCAACGCAATCTGGATCAACTTTTCTAACTGACTTATGGGAAAATTGTGGAAAGCTTATGATCTAATTAGTTATCTGATTTCATTTACTTTAATTAGAGACCAAATGAATTTTAATTTATATTCATGTTTGTCCATCATGTATATTTAATTAATTATCTACAATGTGTTTTCAAATTTTCTCCGTAACAAATATTTTTATTTTATAATCTCACAAATAAACTATTTATATTTTCATAATAATTTTACATATTTTTTTCAAACTATTATCACATTAAAAACATAAAATTTCAAACACTACTATTCAATAAAGTCCATGCCCTTTTCAGTCATTTTACAACTAAACTAACTTTTCTATTAATCATCCAAACAACTTTCAACTTTTTCAACTAACTTTTTATAAGCACCTATCCAAACACAAATCGCATTACACTGACTGAATTTTACTCTAACTTCAATTACAAAAGTCAATTGGATTAGAAGTCAGTTTTGCCCAACGTCAATCCAAACATAGCCGTTATCTAAACATACCCGTTATCTGCTTTTTAGTTTGCCTTGGTATGCACGTACGTTTCTCCTAAACAAGTTGTGGCTCAAAGCCTTTTCCAGCTGGTTCAGTTGGGAGGTAGGTTCCTCTTTGATGCAACGTTTGAGTGATGGAAAGCTGCAAGTAGAAATGCCCAGTGCAACTGCCTGGAGGAAATAGATTATTGTTCCTCTCCTTTTTTTTTGTTTGTTTATGCATTGATATTTTAATTATTACTATACAATACTAGCAGTAGTTAATTTCATCATTTTTATTTTCACTTTTTAATATTAAAAGCACACCAAACGTTTTTCAGACTATACATGGGTCAATATTTATGTTTTAGCTGAAGTAGGAATTAATTTGTTAACTCTTTTGTTGAGACTGGGCGCCATCGTTCCATTTCATAAGCTTCTTTATTTTCTCTGCAAGTCATACACGATGAATTAAGTTTTACATGGAAAAAAAAAAAAACTTGATAAGAGTCGAAACTACTCAAAAGACTAGATCATCATTGATAGATGCAATACAAAAAATTGTGCATACAATTTATTCATCCCTGAGAGCCTTAAAAGGAAAAATACGATAGCCTAGCCTAGGATTTTTGCTAGCTAGCTACTTATTCATCTAATATCTGGCTCTTATTTCTCTACAAAATTGTTGTCCGAAAAATACTATCGGATCATGGCTGGCCAGAAAAATTAGGGGGAAAAAAAGGGAGGCAAAAAAAAAAACTAAGAAATAAAAACAAAGGTTTAGGAACTGTTGGCTAGGACTGTTTGTGGATCGCAGTATTTCTTCTGGTCCTTAGCATTCCTCCATTGATCCGATATGTCTCCGGCGATCTTCACTGCATCCGAGGCGGTTCCAAGGATCCCTCTTCTCGTGAACCCCACCGTATACAATCCATTCCCTCCCTTCCATCCGTTTGGAAACGGCGTTTTTGGCATCCCGTCGGCGGTGAAAAATTCACAGCTCTGTGCACAAAAAATATCCATTCCCAAACACATCATTAACTCTTTGAAGATGAAACAAGGTATTATAATAATATAACAGTACTATATGATAAACCCTTCAGATATAGTTATCTACTATGCCCTAAAGAGAACTTTCGCTCCGGTGGGGAAAAAAACAAACAGAGAGAACTCTTGCTGAGCTTTTTTTTAAAGACAGTGACGTGCAAACATTGGGTGTTACTGGCAAATACCGATCAGTATCATACAAGAAAACAAGAATCAATAGGATCGGAGGGAATTGACTGAAGGATGAGTCAGTTTGATTAATTGGGTTTTATCTGCAGAAGACGGGAAAAGATGACATCTTATAGCTGGATGTGATTTTGCAAGTTGACAACACGATATCCAATGATTGTTACTCGTCATGTTCGTCACAAGAAGTACGAAGTTTGAATTTAAAGCAGTTTTTAAAGGTACAAAAATAAAATACTCCTCTTATCTTTAATATAAGGCCTATTTAATTAATTTCATTAAATTAAAAAAATTAAAAAAATTATTTAATTATAAGAAATATGATATATGTTTTTTAAAATATTATAATCATCTTTCTTAATATCTTTTCTCTTTTTTCTATTTAATTATGGTTGAGAGATTACTTATAAGAATAATTTAGAAAAAATTGATAAATATGAAAAATAAATTTTATATTTAAAACTAAAATTAAATTAATAATTAGATCCTATAGTAAATAAAAACTGAAAGAGTATTATAGAAGGATTTTTTTTTTTTTTGGCATGCTTTGAAGAAGACATTTGTAGGTACATGTGGTGGCGGTGGTGGCGGATATTTGCACGGACCGATATCCGAGACCAGAGAGTGAAAAGTCACGAGTGTTTCATAATAATAGGATAAAGCTAAAAACGTAAGAAAGATAAGAGGTTAAAATTCTTACCTTAAGCCAACTAGGCACGTTACTTTTGTACCCCGTTGCCAATACTATTGCATCGAACTCCTTCTCCTGTCCATCCATCATTCTGGCACCATTTCTCGTTATCTCCTTCACGCCATCCTCCACCTGAAACCCACAGAAATCTTAATCAGCTCACATCTCAGAGCATCTTAATTGGCTCGCAGTTAAGATTATTGTCTTGTTAAGTTGAAACATATGGTATGTTTATACCTTGATTCTTCCGGCTTTGATCTCTCCGAGGGTACCGACGTCCAGAACAGGGCTCCTTCCGGCGATGCATTTGAGCTCCATTGGGCCGGTTTTGGGTCGCCGGAGACCGAGCTGATCAGTGTTTCCAATGATGAAATAAGCCAAGAGTAAGAGGAGCATGTCCACTATTCTTAACGGAAACCATTTAAGGAGGGTCATAGCTAGTCCGAACGTTGAGAATCCAAACATCTCTCGAGGGAGAACATGGACCTGTAATATAAATTTGTGCAAAAAAGTGAGTAAAAAGGACACGCTTTCTTTTTTTGAGTAAAAAGGACACGCTTTCTAACTTCATGATTACTTGCCCGAATTGGGGGGGGGGGGATAACATCGTCGATTTTGAGGATTAAAGAAAGCAAAGAGGGAAGTCAACTTACAGCATTTCTAGCAACTATGTGAGTTTTTGCATTGTGATTGCAGAGATCCAAGCTAACTTCCATACCAGAGTTACCACAACCTACGACTAAAACTCTCTTGTTCCTATAATCAGTGCCGGACCTGTAATCGATGGTGTGAATAATAGGTCCACGAAAATTCTCCATCCCGAAGATCTGAGGAATAAAGGGTTCAGCATTCTCGCCGGTGGCCACAACGAGCCACCGAGAAATGTAGACGAAATCCTGAGTTCGAACGATCCATAAACCCGAGGTGGGGTCGAAGCGGGCTTCACGGACGTTCTGGTTGAACCGTGGACGAAGTGAGAAACGTGAGGCGTAGGATTCCAGGTAAGTGATGAACTGAAACTTGTTAGGATACTTTGGGTAACTTTCAGGAAAACCCATTAAAGGAAGCTCGCAAAATTCTTTTGGAAGATGAAGCCTGAGACGATCGTAGGTTTTGTTCTTCCAAAGAGAAGCAATGCAATCGCTCCTCTCAAGAAGGAGTGAAGGAACTCGATATTGTTGAGAGAGGCAAGCTGCGACGGCTAAGCCAGAGGGTCCAGCACCTACAATGATAGGCCCTGGAACAACCTCGCACATTGCTTCGACTTGTGATGATTTGCAAGAAGCCATGTAATAAAGCCGAAAACAAGAAGCGGATTGCTTTTCCGGAAAAGGAGGAAGGACCCAGCAGAAAGAAAAAAGAGTAACCTTTTTCTCTCGGTTTCTTACGACGCGATGGAAAATTCTAAGAGGTAATAAAAGATGGATAGCGGTCTGTTAGAACTTTGAAATGAGAACCGTGCCTTCTAAATGCAAAAGAAAGCCAGTAAGCGACAAACTTGTATTTGAAACAAGTGAGAGTTAGTGAGGGACAGAGATATATATATAGAGAGAGACAGTGTTTATGTAGTAATAAACACCAGCAAATCGTCCGTATGAGTTGCTCAATGCTCTGTGTTTCTCAGTGGTTTTGATGCATTTGGTTGGAGTTGTCAGTCTCATTTATATAGATAATGCCGTCTGGTTTTGGGTTTAAAAATAGAAAGTCAGTGTTATCTGTTATGTTCATAATTGTCGGGGAAGAAGAATCAGTTGATAGATCGATCGGATCGATTAATTACTGAGACGAATCATTAAGTATAGATGAAGTCAAATAATAAATATACATGTATTATTACTCAAACTTGAGGCCTGCTATGAGTAGTGTTATTTATAGTAACCGAAAAATAAGAAAACGATATCTGAAAATCAAATTAGATATGAAGCCATGGGATCCTAGTAAAGTGGATTACGAGGGAGTTGAGGTAGCCACACACACGTTTCTGTGTGCGTGTATCTCGATTGAAAAGAACAACAACGATAATAATTATATATTTTGCATGGTCGCGCCACGAATTATTAACAAGCTAATAACTGAAGCAGTCAAACGGACATGCCTCCAGTTCAGTTATATCATGCTTGTGGTTATTAGTTCCTAGGTATAATTATTACAACATCATGTCCGGATTCCTAAGTTCGCCTCATATCATGACATGTTATATGTGCATGTCCAAACAAGTGTGTGTGTTTTTCGGGGGTTAAAGTTTGTGATGGATCCTTGACATTACTTTTATATACACATACATGCACACAGATATATATATACTCCTCCAATCCCTAATATAAGACCTAATTGTTGAGTTAGTTTTGGTTCTAAATATAAGACTTATTTCTTATATTTATCAGTTTTTTTATAAATTACCCTTATAGATACTCTCTCAACCATAATCAAGTAGAAGAGGAAGAGAGGGTATTAAGAAAGATAATTATGGTATTTTAGAAAAAACGTATCACATTTTTTATAATTAACTAACTTACCTAACTTCTTTTATCTAATCAAATTAGTTAAATGAGTCTTATATTAAGAACCGGAACAGTATATATATTTTCTTAATAGTAATCATAAAACTAATCACATTTTATGATATTTTTGTATTTTAGTTGTACACTCTTTCCACTGTCAAATTTAAGAAACAATTTAAAAGATCCTTTGTTATCAAAGACGACAAAGAAAATAACATAGACTTATATGAATATTTAATGATGTCTTTTATGAAAATATCCCTGACCAATATTAACTAGACTCTCTCTGTTTTCCCACGTTGAACGATAAATAAAGATCCAAGTGTATTCTAATTTTTCGTGGAGTAGTGGGGAAAGCTTTTCCAGACACTAAACACTTCTAGCGTTTTATATATTGATACATGCATGCATTATTTAGTTCTGGAAAAAATTGATCAAGCCTCCATATATAGTTTTTGAACTCGATCGTGGTGAATGATCATATTATGACAGGCACATGGATCTTGAAATTAAATCAATAACCCGATCAATGCTTTGCTTTCCCAAAAAAGATGGATAATTAAAGGACTTCTTGTTAATTAATTGATGCCTACTTTGACGTTTGCATAACGTCCAGTTCGAACCAAAGCTAGTGACTTTTCCTGCTTGAATCACCGCAAAATAAACAGCAATAGGTAACAAAGATATATAGTCTGATTAAAGCAAATTAAAAAAAAAAAGTGAATGTGACGGATTAAAGTCGATGGGTCGGGTTCGGTTCCAGTGTTATGTGATGTTCATAATTAAGCATCGTACACAAGATCTGAGTTGTCGAATCTTCAACCTCTAGCTATGTGTTGTTATATATATACAGATCAGAAGCAAAATCTCTTGCAACTACTTAAAATCTCAAGGATTTGCATAACATGATAGTCCCGTAGTATTATTCATTCGTTATCATCATTTGGCTGTCTATATATTGAATAAGAAGACAAACCTACGGAGCCTATACAACAAAAACCACAATCGATGTCAATGAACACACAGACACACCCACTCTATATATCCATCAACATACCTATCGTGGCATGTCTAGTTAGTACAGGAATGATAGTATATAAATTTTATCTGAAGATAAAAAGCTCTGTGTTGTTGTCATTCACAACACACAAACAGGTGAGCTACTTCACAAGCTATATATTATTGCATCTTTTTTGTTTATCTATTCTAAGTTAATGTACCTTGCAAAGTAGAAGTTACGTGAAGAGAATCTTTGATCTCCCCTCAACCCAAAAAAGGGCTTTGAAGAAAGCAGGAACTGACAAATTCCTTTATATCTATCATTAGGCTATAATATCTAGCTTCTCTCTTGAAAACGTACGTAAGCTGACAACGTTGTGATGTGTGTTTCTCTCTTTGCTTAAATTAACGCATCAATCTGAAACTTCTGCACTACACGTACAGCTCAGGCAGTTTACAAAGGCCTTAAGCCTTTTCATCAGAAATCCATCAGTAAACTACCCTGCTAATCGATCATATATCCTTTTGACTAACACACAAACACACATGATAACGATCATTCGACACTACGCAGGTTGTTCCTGGTACGGCTATAATAATACAATTCAAAAGGGTTTGATTCCAATCATCGTTAACGATATAGGTTCCGGAGAAGATTACATCAAAACATATCACCTTAACTAAAACGTTAAAAACAACAATTATTAAAGCAGGGATATAATCGGAATAAGAGCTCTATTATATGTACGTAGTTCTATGACACGGTTCTGGGGTTTCTTTCTGCCATTGACACTAACAATTCCTCAACATGAAAAACTAAAAGAGGTCCCCACAGTGACAGTTAGGGTGTGTTTGGATGAAACCAAACTATGGTTTGGAGAATAGCTTCTGGAGAATAGATTCTGAAAAAAATAGATTTTGGGAAGAATAGATTTTGTGAAAAAGTGATTTTGAGAAGTGTGAGTGTTTGGATAGTTGTTATTAGAAGTACTTTTTATATATACAAATTGGCATAAATTAATATGATAATTATAAAAAAAATATATTTTATGATATATTTTAATTGGAAGGAATAAAATTGTTAATAATATATTTTTTATTAACATATATTAATAATATATAAGATAATATAATTAATAAATAATTAATATGTATATATATATTTATAAGATATAAGATTAAATATATTTATAAAAAATATGTTTATAAAAAAACAATAAGATACATATCCTATAGGCTCTCACACTCTCCCCTTTTCCTTTAAAAGTAAAAAATTTCTGCTTTTCTCAAAACCATGGTTTTGAACCCAAACCATGGTTTTGATTTTTTTAAGGGTGTTTGGCTAACATTTTTCCCAAACCATAGTTTGGGGTGTGTCAAACACACCCTAGAAATAATTGCCAATTAGCATCACAGAGGAAATATCGCAGCACAAGTTGAGATTCTGGGTCGGACTTCGGATCAAGCAAGACCCACCCAGGAGAGAGACAGGGAGAGCATGGACTGTCATTGTATTGTATTTACGTGAAAATAGAGCAGAGTCAAGTTTGCGTCACGGACACGGAAGGCGAGGATGATGTCACGTGACGAAGGGGCAGCGAGTCGCGTGGGACGGATTGGCCAGTTAAGAATCAGTGGAGACGAGCGTAGGAGATAGAAGCCAGGGGAGCTGTAGTTATAATGACAAGGAAGGACCTCCCACAGAAAAGTGAGAAAACACGTTAACGATAACTCGATGAGGTGACGGAGAACGATGAGAATGAGGAAAGGTTGGGGGCCTGAAATGACGGTGGAGGGTAGTTTGGTCATTAGGGGGAGGGCACGTGTCGCGAAATGGTATGTTGAGGGGCGGGGAATAGAAAGATTTGACTGAAGTTAGGGGTTGGGGCGAGTCAGCAGACGTCGCTCACAAAGCATGCTTTGGGGAGTAGGGCAGTGGGGAGGCAATGACGCTGATTCGAACGTCTGATTACGCCAAGTCCAAGGCGAATCAGTCTGCCCCGGACGCAGATCTCATTTTGATATTTTTCTTTTATTTTACTTATTCTTCATAAATAAACATGCTTATGTTATTGAGCTTCTTAGAAAAATATCACGCGCCCATTTAAAATGATTTATAAAATATAAAATAAATTTTGTTTTTAAAATCGTGATTACAAACGGGTCTTAACTTTGAGCTTTTGCCTTTTAAGCTAGATATATAGAATAAAACTTATGGCCTTCAAAATTATAAAACAAATATTTTTATGTTATTAGGCAACAACGAGCTAGCCTGTTCCTTTTTATTTCCAATATAGCTGCGTCTTATGTCAATGTATATAACTCAACAGCATTAGACACTTCCTTTATTATTATTATTTTTTAACGTGAGATGTAATTAATACTCCTCTGGTTCTAAATATAAAATCACTTTTATAGTGTAAATTACACTACAAAAGGGGTTTTATATTTAGGACATGAGTAGTATATAATAGGTACATAATAGTTTAATAAGCGCGTGACAAAAATATACTCCCCCAGTCCTTAATATAAGACCTATTTAACTAATTTGATTAGATTAAGAAAGTTAGGTAAGTTAGTTAATTATAAGAAAAGCGACACATTTTTTCTAAAACACCATAATCATCTTTTTTAATATCTCCTCTTTCTCTTCTACTTGATTATAGTTGAGGGAGTATCCATAAGGGTAATTTAGATAAAATAAATAAATATGAGAAATGAGTCTTATATTTAGGACCAAAACCAATTCAAAAATTGGATCCTATATTAAGGACCGGAGGAGTATTACATTTGCTTTTTGTTTTTGCCATCATATCACGATTGCTATTGACTTAACTATTGTCAGATCCGAATTAATAGTGATTTTTTTCTTCCACAAAATTTAATTATGATAAGCCTCGTCTTTTTGTTGAATATATGAAATCATATCGATGGAGAGTCTTGGTTGTTGCCAAGTGTTTATAAATTATGAAAAAGACGGTTTTGTATTTATGTATTATTCGATAACATGAATCATTATATTAAAAACAATTACAAGCTATTTTTTTCTTTGAATGATAATTATGTATTTGACTAATTTCTATTGAGTTAAAAGTGATAAGCTTAAAACCCTCCCAAATAAAAAAAATAAAAAGGCCTAAGAAATTGAGGTCTAGTAGATGGCGTGAGAAAGTAGGCCCATTACACAACAACTCAAATTCAACATACCACCCATTGAAACCGCGTGTTTGCTGCTCAAGGCTATGGTTTTTCTGGTAAGCTTAGCTGAACTTAATAATGAGCCATTTGCATTGGAATGATGCATGCCATCAAGAATATTCTTGTGCTGCCACTAACGAGTTGGCTATGTGGAAATTATTGCTGCCATTGGGTAGTTTCTCACAAATAAATATGTAAATACAATGTCCAGCGAACAAAATATTTATAAATACAACGTACAATATCGATTTGTTCTAATTATTTTAACAAATGTTGAGTAGTAACACCAAGCTTAATATGGCAAAAATAATCCTAAGGAAATGCCAATCCATACATTTAGGGTGTGTTTGGATAGAAACCAAACCATGGTTTCAGAAGTGCTTTTACGGATTACGAAGTAAATATATGGAAGAGATTATCTCGTTTTACGGAAAAGTACTTCTGAAACCACGGTTTTGGGATATCCAAACAAGCCCTTAGTTTCACAATAGGCCTCACATGGAGATGGAGTTTGGTTTCGTTAACTCATCGCTTTTGAAAGTTAAATGCTTTGATTCCAAAGGCGAATATGAGCGCAAACTGCACTGAGAAACAAGCTACCACAACAGCCACAACTCCCAAGAAATCATATTTGAATCTGAAATAACCTGTCACAAAGTCTTCAACTGTTTGGCCTGACTCTAGTTTCTCCGTTTGGTCTCCGTATTGGGAGGTAATCAATCCATTCAAAGTCCAAGCAACAGGGCAAATCCAATAGTACCATTTCCACCACACGGGTATTCTCTGCCATCAAACCAGGATATGTTGTTCTTGGATTAGCTTTACTCCATAGCTTAATCTTGAAAAGTACGTGAAAAAAAATTATGCGGGAGTGTTTGGAATTACCGATAAGGGAATGATAAAGCCTGAGAAAAGGTTCCATATTGCATAGAAGGCACTTGAGAATATCATCGCAACGTGGGGATTGGGAGAGATAGCCATGGTCATCATGCCATAGAATGTGAAGTATGAAAAGGTGAAGTACATGAAGAAGAGATACCACAAGAACTTGGCTAATGTCCACTCAAATCCCATCATGGCATACACTATAACCCCATATATTAGAGTCTGGATCAAGATGTGAGGAAGCTCAATAATAACCTACAAAAGCTTAATCCTGAGTTTACCATGCAACATAAATCATTCTACAAGTATAAAGTTCAAGCGTGCGTACACGTGTGTGTGCTGGTAACTTGAGTAATTTTACCTGCGCCACAGCGTAAGGCAAAGCTGAATACATTCCAGCAGCTCTTTCTCTATAGAAGACTGTTCTCTCAACGGCCACTATGGGTTGCACTGAGCAGCCATTTTGTACTCCAATGGAAATAACAGCAGCATACATTGAACCCATGGAATTGAAAAGATCCTGCGCCCTTCTCCTGTACTTTCATAGTTTATTATAGGCATCTAATGGTAAGAGTTAAGCTAAAATTTTCGATTCATACTTTATTTGTTATCTTGGCTTCTCCACTCACCTTTTCGAGCCAACGTCCCAAAAAATCATCCCAAACAGCAAAGCTATAATTGTTGTACATAGTAGTCTTACTGCACTATATGACGTGTTGCGCCAATATGATAAATGTTGTTTCCATAGGCAAGTTACGCATTGTGCAAAGAAAGGCTGCGAATATTGGCTTGCAAAGTAGAGATCTTTTGAATCTTGACGAGGTGTACTAAGCTCTTGGATCAGTTGTTTATTTCTCCTGCACATTAGGAAGTATAAGCAAGTCATACAAAATCTTCATGCAGAACTTCATCAGAATCATGAGGTAAGAAATGTATGCACCTATCTTGCATTAATGTTATTAACAACCACAGGCACAAAAGTGCATTTCTTGTGTTTGTTAATGATTAATGTAATGCGGTATGAGATAAGATACTCACCGGTGGAGTTCTGAGTTTCTGTATTCAATAGTAAAGTTAACATTGAGGTTTGCTTCTATCCCTGGTGATGTCACTTCCAGCATCCAAGTTGCTGGATTGTAACCATCTTTGATCATAGGAACTCCTTGAATAGCCTTTAGGAACCATACGCTGAATGCTTAGTGTGCAAATGTTGTGGCAGCAACTAATATGTTCAATCTCATTAAAATAAGACTCACCTCAAAGTACTGAATCAGCTGGGAACAATGGTGGCCTAACGGACCAGCATATATCTGCTCTCCTCCCAATTTCAGAAGCAGCAACTATTGAAGTGGTAAGATAAAAGTACTAAGTTCAAATGTAAAATGTAGTACTTGAATTAGATTCTATCAAAACGACAAAGATATTATTTTTCACCTCATCAAAGGCATCAAATATATCAATGCTTGGCTGGTGAATGGTGCAAACTACGGTTCGTCCTGTGTCCACGGTGTTTCTCACAGTTCTCATAACAATTGCTGCTGCTCTTGCATCAAGGCCCGAGGTTGGCTCATCCATGAATATTATTGATGGGTTGGCTACAAGTTCAACTGCAATTGTAAGCCTCTTGCGTTGTTCAGTTGAAAGTCCAGTCTCACCCGGTAACCCAACTAGTGCTTCCCTTAATGAGTTAAGCTCCACAAGCTCCATGACTTCTTCTATGAACATCTGGGTCTCATAATTTAACGTTCTAGTTAATTATTAGAAAGCTAATATTGTTTATGCTTTTGATTTTCTTGTACTTGATCTTATTTTGTTGAAAGCACATTGTTCATACTACCTTTTTAGTTGCATCATCGATTTCAGGGGACAATCGAAGCCATGCAGAGAACAATAGGGACTCATAGACTGTAACATAGGGTGAGTGAATATCGAATTGTTCACAATACCCTGATATACGAGCAAAAGTTTCTTGCTTTTTAGTATACCCAGAAATTGTGATACTTCCTTCGATATAGCCACTAGTCTTCCTACCAGCCAAAACATCCATCAGAGTAGTTTTGCCAGAACCGCTTACTCCCATTAAAGCTGTTAGTACTCCTGGCCTAAAAGCACCACTCACACCCCTTAAAAGTTCAAGACGATCCTCAAGAACACCTTGGTTTTTCATTTCCTTCAATGACAACAATTTGAGTTTGTACCCAACAGTATATTTAAATACAACCGCTGTATGAAAAAAGAGCACACGGGATCACAAAATACCTGTGGCATGTCGACAGAATATCTGATCTCATCAAAGGTGAGGGATAGAGGTTGAAAAGGAAGCACCATGCCCTTATGACTACTGTGTGCAGGAAATGGTCCACATGATAAACCTACTTCTTCGATCTTTGTTTCTGACTTGTCATCTTGTTTGTGAAAGGCCTTAATATCAGACTCCAAGTACATAAAAGAGAAACTAGAGATAGAAGGTCAAGGACTCACCAAAAGCACTCAATTCTGCTTGTGGAGGGTCAATGAACTCGCCAGTTTTGGAAGCATTTCTCTCGAGCAATTTCTCTTTCGACAGCCCTGGTTGAGCTCTTTTGAATGCTGCAGCAGCAAAATGCTCAATTATCAAAAGAGAGGCTTTGTGAATTACGAAAATAAAGTTAAAAAAAGAAGATAAACTACAATATATTGCTTACGTTTGAGATGTTGCAAAGCCAAGGTGAAAAGGAAATTAAAAAGAAAGGTATGACCAATCAAAGCCCCTGCTCCAATCCAATACCAATAAGCTGCTGGGAAAAACCCACGAGATTTCAATACCATAACTCCCAATGCCTCATTGGACTTGGGAACAGCCTACGAGACATTCCCCCAACTATCTCATTAGTATATCCTTCTACGTCTCATTTTTCATTGACTTTCTTGACCATACTAAATGATTAAACAAAGAAATAAAGGATCACCTTTCTCCAACTATGCCCGAGAAATTCGTTCACAGCAATAGCATTCTGCCCATACATCAATGGTGACGACCAATAACCCCAAAGGAGCCATTTGTGTATATTCTCTAGCAAAAAAGAACAGAGATTTGTCAACTGTTATAAAAGCATTCATGACGTCAGCATCCTCCTCCTTCTCATGATTAATATTAATTTATCTTTTTACCTCGTGAAATCACAAATCCACCCAAAACCAGAACTATAAGTAAAGCGAATGATCCAACAGTATTTGCAACAATTACATCCCTTCCTAATGCTGCCATCAACCGAAATAGCGCAGATGCCATCTGATTAATGCACAAAATAAGGAAGTATTGTTTGAAGAACCTGCCATTGGGAATTCTCATTAGTTCATTAAATGTGTAATTATCAATGTAATTTGTCTGCAATGATCTTCTTTTAATCACATTTTCACCTCCCAACACTTGGATCAAAACCGATGCCGTAATAAGTGATGCCTTCCCAAATGGCTACTTCTACAAGGGTTATTGGCATTTTGAGTATCCATGGTGGTAGAGCATAAGCCCATGAAGGATAAAATATACAGTCTCTTTGCTTGTAAAAGATGGGAAGTTTCATGATGGTCATGTTTAACTCCGATATTCCATTGAACATAGCTACAATGACAGCAAAGAACAGGGCACCCATATATGTTCCTCCATCCGCCACAGTATCCCGATGCATGTTTGTTCGTAGAAATAATGTTGTAGTCATGACAGCTAAATAAGTAAGCTGAAAGGGAGAAAGATGACACGTGTAAGGGGAACATAAGCATGCAATACATCTCTGAAGATGAAACAGCCTATCTATCTCCTAATCTTTTTTCGAACCAAAAAATAAAGAAGGAAAGAAAACATGAGAACTCCATTTGTCATCATATGATTGGCGTTTAGCGTCAACATTCATGCATGATTGAAGTTTGAATTTCAAATTCAATCAAATGAATAGCACATCGACTCACTTGAGTGGCTTTGAATATGTAGACAAAGGAATTTCTCTTCATAAGCAAAAATTCTCTGCTAAAACAAGCTCTCAACAGCTCTTTCTTGCCAACACCATATTTCTTTGTGGTCAAGGCAGCTGGATGACATTTAGATTTGTCAAAAGGATTGTCCAGCTCATCTTTAATTTTTTGCCCTATATGAAATGATTGGAAGGCTTCAACAAAGTCCTTCACAGTAACAAAACTGTAAGGTGCATCTTCACGTGCCCAGTACTGCCGTTGATCTTTTCTTGATGTCACCTATTATAACTCGTGTGAGGTGATAAGAATTAATGCGCGCGCGCACGCACACACACGATAAACGAAGCAAAATTAAAATTAAACTTGTTTTCAAGTTAACTAAGTGATTTGCACTCATATATATACTTCTTGTAAGAAGTCAGCAACTCCTTTTCTTTCAGGACACTTGAAGCCCATGGATTCAAAGAACTCAAGCACATTTTCTTTGGGGCCTTGGTACACAATTTGGCCATCTGTGAGAAGTATGATATCATCAAATAGCTCATAAGTTTCTGGTGCAGGTTGTAGGAGAGAGATAAGTGCAGTTCCATTGAGAATATGGATGGACTGTCGCATTGAATTTATTATTTGAAAAGTTGTTGAACTGTCCAAACCAGATGATATTTCATCCATGAGCAACACTCTCACAGGCCCAACGAGCATCTCCCCTTCATGCCAAAAAGTTTTTATCAATTAGCGTAGTCATGGGTTTTAATTTCATATGTCAACTAGGGAATACCTGTCGTGACACGCTTTTTCTGTCCCCCTGATATACCTCTTATCATTTCATCCCCTACCATAATGTCAGCACACACTTCTAGTCCCAAAATCTGCATTATAAAGAAGGGATAGCGTCAAAATCTGAAGTTTCACTACGTGTCACATTTAGTGAATCCGAACTGTCACCTTTAGAATGTAGTCAGTGACCACGCTCGTCTCTTGTCCTTCTAGTGCTGCTGCCTGCAAGGTTTAAGAGACATTCGGTATGAAGAAAAACAATGACCTTAGCATTGCAGAGATAAGGCTCACCTTCATGTATGCATCAACATCAGGATTTGGTTTAATGTTTGCTTCCTTTTCTCTTCTCAGCAGTTCTGCCAACATCTCTGCAAAGTGAAGTTGAGAATCGTTAGTAAAAACCATAATTAGAGCCTTTTGGAATATTGGGATTCAATTCAAGTGATTCAATTACTAACCATAATTGTGCCCCACTCCTTGACATCTTGCTGAGAAGTCCAGTGTTTCTCTCACAGTCATTTCTCCAATGTGGACATCATTCTGATTTATATAAGCTGATGTCCTCTGTGGTACAAACTCTTCGAGTCCGTACCCATTGTAAGTCACTTTCCCAGAATGCTATTGTTTTGTCAATAATAGAATTAGACTCTTACAATTAAAAATTTTATCCACTCCAAGTTTTGGTTTTCTTACTTTCAAATCGGTACCGAGTTTTCCAGCCAGAGCCAACAGCAAAGTAGTCTTTCCGGAACCTGGGGGTCCTAAGAGCAACGCCATTCTGCAAAATATCTCATCATTAGAACGAAAAGAAAAAGATCTAATTCTTCTTATTTCGTAATTTGCCTGGTTCCTGGTGTTGTTATCTTTATCCCAAGGTTTTTTGTACTGTACAGTTCCCTTTGGAATGACATCCCGTTTCTTACTAAAAAAAAAAAAAAAAGGAATTGAATTTCTTTTTATCTAGATGAATGTCTTGAATTCACCTCCTGGGCTTTATGATTCCGCTAACATTCTGAAGAATATGTAATGGTTTCTTTGGAGTTGGCAAAACGTGAACATAATTTAAGAACCCCTGAAGATTAAATAAGAAAACGAAACAACGTGATTAATAGTGGACGATAACACAACAAAACAAGAAAGGAACACGTCTCTGTTTTTGTGAGCTACCTCTAATGCGTTGCCATAAAAGTTAAGCAATGAAGGTAATGCTCTGCTTCCAACGTAGACTTGTGCCTCCACATTTATATGCTCAAACCTAACTTCAACTGTTGGAATATCTAATCCAACTCTGTACAAAAAGTTAGCGAGCATCACGAAAGCAGTTTAAATTAAAACACCAGAGATAAAGAAGTTTCATCATATCGAGCATCCGTACAAGTCATTTCATCACTATATCATAATCATTCATGAACGCTTTCCGCAATCCTAACTACGACTCACCGATTAATCCGTTCCTTAAGTTTCAACAAGAACTTCTCATTATCTTCTTCTGCTAGCCCGACGAGTCTCTCTAAGAGAATCTTTCTCTCTGTTAAACTCAACCTTTTGATATCTACCTCACTTGCTTTGCCTTCTGCGTTAACAAGGATACTCTTCCTCATGCGCGAATATGTCGGGAGTCTCTCTATTGCTGCCCATTTCAGAGCTTCATCGTCGTCCTCACGTTCAAACGTTGAGAACACATCCTTGCTTCTCTCCATTGCTTTCATGTTGGACTCTTTGATGCAGAATGGATGCAAAAGTTATGGAAGTAAGTAAGATTTACTCGTAGACCACTGATTAACCAGGCATTGGGTATTCTTCATCTTGAAGATGAGCTTCAATGGAGTCAAGGGTGTAAATCAAGTGGTTTAGTTTAACAAGGGAAGTTAGTTCTGTTTTTTTCCTTGAATTTAACAGGAATAATTTATTTATTTTTTTTCAATTTTTTGATAACGAGAGAGTAAAATCAAAACATTTGTAAATCTTGAAATTAAATCTATAATTAAAAGAACATAAACCTTGAATGAATCATCTTTTCACACGTGAGGATCGAATTTGATTAAATAATTAAATGCATTTTTTCCTTTGTTCAAAAAAAAGAGAGGGGAGCATAAATAAATTGAAAAAGCACTTCACATTGTTTTTTGTTTTAATATGGAAAAGCGGGAAACATGTGGTCCTTTGAGAAAAGAAAGAAAACGGACAAATATTATTATTTTATGTTGGCGCCCCCACGGAGGAGATAAAGTATGAATGAAGGAGAAAAGAAACATGCTAGTATTTGTTAAAACAACCCCAAATGATTGCTTGGAACACAGGAGGATTGATTATTTCTTTATTCCCGCCCATCAGTAATTATAAGAAAAGTTAAATGAATTACTTAATTTTAAAAAAATATGACGTAATATTTTTAAAATTTCTATATAATATTAGATTATATATTAATTTATAAATTAGACAAATTAACTCAGAAAAATATAACAGATATGAAAGATAAAATAAATTAATGTAATGTGTTTAGAATTTAAATAAATTTTTTAATTAGTTTTTGCACCTATGACAAGAGGAATATTAATTGACAATCATCGACATGTTATCTAAAAATTATTCATAAAATTTCTGTCAAGTATGAGGTTATGAAATTTGGAAAGGACGAGAAAAGGACATGGGATGAAAGAGATGAAGCCGCTCACATCATTACTTGAGGCGGGAGATGACACGTGACAAATATAAGACTGAATTAGAGAATTAATATTAATTTTCTATATAAAATTTATTTTACATATTTATTATTTTTTAAATTAACTCTATTAATATTTTCTTAGTAACAATCAAGCATGAAAGAGATGGAAGAAATTAATGAAGATACTTAAAATATTTTAAAAAAATATATCATATTAATTAATTTAACTAGTATTATTAATCTATTCAAATTAATTAATTAGATTCTATATTAAAAATTAAACAACATCATGTACAGGCTGAAAATTCTATTAGATGTGTGGCCCTTTTGTTTTGGACAAAGCTATGATTTCTAGCAGAATTGTACACTTCAATTATGAAATTTTTTTGACTTTCAAGGTGACACGCAACCTAGGGCACCAGAAATTTCCAAAAGGAATAAAAATTATTGGTTTGTTTAATTTTTCTACCCAGGATTTGAATGCTACCCAGAAAAACTCATGTTGGTGGCATCCTCCATCTCAAACCTGACTTCATGTTTGCGTCTGCCAGATCTCGACGTTAGTTCGTGGTGCTAAACATCTCGTTTTTTACTGTCTTTGGAAAGCCCTTCATTCAAGATTTCAAAACCATACAAAAGTCAGCAACTTAATGAGCTGACTATACTTAGTATTGAATACGACTTCCGGCCCTTAATATAAAACTTTATTTGATTTTTATTTTGGTCCTAAATATAAGACTCTAATCTACTTTGTCTCTCCTATTTATAGATTTTTTTTCAAGATAGTCCTTCTAATAATGGTAGTTCTAGCCAATACACTTGATTAGTAAGGATATTTTAGGAAAAACAACAGCTATTTATTATAAATAACTAACTTATTTATCTCCTCAAATTAGTCAATTGGCTCTTATAATTAAGATCGGAAGTATTACTTGTGAAGGATTATTTAGTTCATTTCGTTTGTTATACTCTACTGGTAGTTAAACCACTTTTTGTCACAACAACATCAAAATTTTATCTTATTTCTAATGGCCGGTTACATAAATTTATTAATAGAAAAATCATCTCCTTTAATAATTTCATTGAGTATTCTCTTTTGCTTTTTCTTACTCCTTTTTGTAGGATTCTATGTTGTTTGAACAACTTTGATGACTTGAATAAATTTCATGCAAGTGTTATTTTGGAATATGTCGTGGTCTTCTTTCTGTCGTATGATTTATTTGAATTTCATATAAGGTTGATTATTCTTGACCTGATCAACTGCCCCGGAATTGAAATTTTATTTAAGGAATTTCACATTATTTTTGACATCATCAACTGTCTCCCATGAAATTTTGTTTGAGAAATTTCATACTGAGACTTGATAATCAGGTCGAGAAATACATGCACGCGCGCATAGCAAGAAGGCAACGCTTATTTGGACGCGAACTTAGGACTTGTCGTTACTGGATAATACATTTAGCAAATCTTTGGGTGTCAGCCAGCGTCAGTAGCCCAACGGTTAATGCAAAACTACGGTCTAAAGGGAACCCGGGTTCGACTCCCGGCTGACGCATTTTTTGGCCTCCAACTTTATCTGCTCTTTTTATTTCTTTTGTTACGCGCGTCTATTTTCTTCAGCATGAAAACAAAAGCCCATCCACCGAGTTTGGTATGACACGACGCCAAACCTATTCATTGGGTCCCGTAATTTGAAGAATATTTCTTTTCAGCAAACCCACCAAAAAAAAAAAAGAATCATCGGATTTTCATGGAAGTTGTTGGACATAAGTGTGAAATAAGATCATGTTCACAAAGCTTGCTTGCTTGGTCTTCTCGGAGGGTCACCGTTGCGACGCGGCCTGACGGACCCTCCTCAGTTGGTGCTGGCATAATCAACACCTGTCCTTCTCCCAAAACTGGCTCTACGTAATAACTCACACGAATTGGTTCCAACCCATCTTCAAACCTTGTCATGTAAGGATTCACTTCCTCTATATTGCCACAAATCACATCATGACCATTCATCATCGTCGGACAATTCAACTCACTATCTTCAAACCACTCGATCAAATCCATTATTCCCTCACTGTTCATCTTTGACACTGCTTCTCTTATGGCACTCGCTGCTTGTGCCAACCTATTATTATCATTACCTAAATCCCCTGCATGAACCTTATTATAAACCGTGCAGTTCCCGAAGAAGCCATGGTCTAAGCCCAGGGCCTTCCTCGCATCCAAGCATATAGACATATCCGCAAACCCATTATTAGTCATCCCTTTAATCTTGCTCAGACAAACCCAGAAAAGCCCAGCCAGGGCTTCAAAAGGTGAGGGAATGGGTCCACCGGGAGCTTGAGCCATGCCCATGCAGGTTCGAACCATTTCATCTGAGAACCCAAAACTGATGGTAGTATATTTTGGTTCTGTGACAGCAATAATGGGTTTCTGAACAGAGGACCTGTAGTGGTTGATCAAGTCCAAGTATGGTTGGCGGTTAGGGGTTTTGTTCCCAGGTCTGCGTGGAGGAAGTGGGTAAAACAAAGGAGGAGCACTCATTTTGTTGAGGGAAGAAATATCAGCCCAAGCGTTCATGAACCTCGTCCCGCAAGTTGTATCTGCCAGGAGATGACTGAAACTTAGCCCTATTGCTATCCCGCCTTCTTCAAACTCAGTTATCTGAAACACCAATGAGGAAGCCAACATGGCAAAATATCACTATTCTGATAGATTTCTATAAACAGTTGAAACAGAAACTTAAAAAGTGTGTCTATATATATTTATATATCGACCTGAACATAAAAAGTGGACCAAAAGTAAGGTTTGTGGAACATGTGTTCCCAGTGGACGAGTTGGAGTTCCTTTTCTCTGTTGACATGTTTCAACCAGTGACGAACACTGCCTTTGGCTTTTGCCTCCACCATTCTAACGCCGGCGTCGTTGCACTTGACCTTCCAGTGGCCTTTGTCGTCTCTGATCAAGCGTCCGGTCATTATGGGGAAGAAGGTAAGGGTTTGGGCCAGAGAGTTTCTCAAGTTCTTTGTGATCTCTCCGACCTTATAATCTGTTTCTGGTGGTGGGGCAGTGGGATAGTAGTACACCATTCTGATATGGTTGTTCTCCATGTGACGATCCAAAACTGACAAGGGAAAGTACTTTCCCGCTTCAACTGGCTTGGTGCTCACCACTGTTCGTTTGCAGATATACGTGATTTCATCCATTTTTGTTTACACCTTTATGCCAAAATGATTCACCATATATATATATATATATATATGGTTGTCGTCTTAAATTATTCGTATACATGCACACATAAATATATGTGTTATAGTCTTGTGAACAAATGAAATGGGATCATCACATATCTGTGCTTCTGTTGAGTGCTAGAATAAAGAACAGTGATTGTTTCGTGTATGCCAGAAAAAGCGATAACAAACCCCTGAATATACGAGGCAATAACATTTTCATGAATACATGCTAATGGGCTTTTTTGTGGGAAATTTACACATCTGAAGGACAGTTTTTTATATAAAAAATTTTACTGCTGAGGATTTCCAAGTTACTCTTGGGTCATAATTTAATTTTACAAAATGAATTTAACTTAAAAAGGAAAACTAGATCATCTAAAAAGGAAAAGAGTAAAATGCTCTGGCTTCTCTTTTAGTTTGCATTAATTACAAAGACCTCCCATCTATTTTAAAAGCATACAGTTTAGTCCAATTATTTAACATTGTTAGAAATATTTTAAAAAGATTCTAAAAATATTATTTTTAACTGAAATTTATATTAAAATAAATTTTATTTACTTTTTTATCCCTCGTTCTAATAAATTTCTAAATTATATTTGTACAGTTACATCATTTCATTCAGCTAAGATAAATATTAAAGATTAGAGTAAAAATTTAACTAATTTTTTAATAAATATATATAGACTTGACTAAATATGTATAGATTTTTATAACAAAGATGTGTTTAAAATTTTAGAATTATAAATTTAAATAATTTATAAAATATTTTAAATTTATATCATTTAAACTTTATGATAAACAAAAACTATGTATTTGAAATATGTTTTTACAATTTAAAAAAATCAAAGTAAATAATTTCTAACGAATGTGATTGGATATTAGAACTATAAAATTTTATGATTTAGATCAAAATTAATAAAATTTATAACATATTATAAATTTTAAAAATAATTATTTTTTTATTTTATAAAAACAGTTTTTGGAAAAATAAATGTCTAAATAATTATTAAGTTAAAAATGGGCATTTTGGGAAAAAATAATTTAAAGTCAAACTTAACGGTCAATTAACAGTTTGAATGGATGGAAATAAAATTTTAAATAGACAAAAGAGGTTCATGTAACATATATTTGAACTGTAAGAGAGGTTTATATATGTTTTCAAAATAAAAAAAGAGATTTCTATAATTGAGATAAAATAAAAAAGTCATCAGTGCGTTTTACTTAAAGGAAAACTAGATCATCTATGAACTCTTCCTCCACTTCTTAATTTTTTTTTTTTCCGGTAAGAATTTTTTCTGGGAAGCAAATAGTTTTTTCACCTTCCAGTTTTTATCTTTTTTGTCGTGAGCAATTGCAACAGGCCTAAGCCTTAAACCTTTTTACAAGTAAGGCCCAAATTGCATTTGGGGGAAAAGCCCGTATTGGAGGTGGGACCACACTCAATAAAAGTGTTTTTTTTGTTTTGTTTTTTTGCTGCAAGAGAAAGGGCTAGGACCAAGAATTACGAACAACTAATCAAAAGGGAAATTACAAACTAATACAAGTGAAAATTAATATAGCACACTTAAGCCTTCGAAATAGTCCATATAATGCTTTCTCCTCATTTTTTGTTGTTATTGTGGGCCACACAGGCCACATTTTTGGGCCCATATAGACACCGCTTCTGCTGGGCCCAAAAAACAGTTCCTGGTTTTGGATGCTTCATTTTTTTTTTGCCCCCCATTAATAGAACGGCACGGGCTGGGTACGGCATGTCCACGCCCCTCACAACGTAAAAACGACACGGCGTTCTGTCATCTCCGCCAATCAGAATATCAGAGACAGATCCGATCGCAGACGGTGAACTTCCCTCGAACGATCACGACGGATTACGAGCGCAATGTCTGGCTCTGCGATGTTGGGTGATGCGAGCTCGTGGTCTAGGGCGCTGGTGAATATCTCTCCTTATACGTTCTCCGCTGTTGGAATCGCCATATCTATCGGCGTCTCTGTCCTCGGTGCCGCCTGGTACTCTTTCATTTTCTCATTCGCGATTTTTGGTCTGTTTTCTCGTAACTCGGGATTCTGAATTATGCCCTTTTTTCTTGTTTCCAGGGGGATTTATATTACTGGAAGTAGCTTGATCGGTGCCGCAATTAAGGCGCCCCGAATCACCTCCAAGAATCTTATAAGGTAATTAGTCTCAGTACGACTTGTATTTTTATCCTTTTGCTGAATTTTTGTTTTAAGTTGTTTACTCTGCTTTTTCATTCATTGATTCATGTTACCATCTGCTTCTATTAGTTGCATCTGGAAACCTTGAAGTTGCTCCTTTGAGTTTTAAATTAGCCACGTTTTGGGGGGTTCTGCTCAATTCATTTTGGAAGAAAAATTGCGTTCTCTTCGCGGTTGTTGATAATATTACTAGGAATTTCCCTAGTTGATTGCTATCAGCCAATGTTGAAAGGCCGGACAAGTAGGCTTGCTTCTGATGATTAGGCAGGATTTTCCATTTTATATTTGATTTTGTGTAGATAACTTATATATGCTAATTTTAGATTCGATTGAGAATTTAAATTTAAATTTCGAACTGTTCTATATTGATTGCCAAGGGAAAAGGAGAACGGTAAAGCCATAGAGCTTGTTACATATTTGTTTCCACTCGACAGTTTAGGTGGCAATAGCAAACACCCGATACACTTCCTTTGTTTGTTGTATGTTTTTAATTGTCCATGTGAATTTGCTTTAGTCTTCTCCATATTTTGGATAGAAAGGAGTCTGTGTAATTTCAGCCAGAAGGTGGAAGATAGGGTAGAATAAAATCTTCTATAGGAATCGATTTGGAACTATTTTTGTTTAGTTAGCTCAGGTGCATCCTTTCTAAGAAATAGATGAAAACATTGACCTTTTACTTTCGGACACCCTGAAGCTGAATCAAGTTTATAAAATGTAACAAAAACGATACGGATTTATTGACTTCACATTGTATTTTGTATTGTTTGCCATCTTTTATTTTATATCGTGAGTGAGGGTCATTTGTTTATTCCCGTTACCCCTGAATTTCCTGCTGACGTTTATGCATTATCACAACGAGGATCCATTTATTCAAATTATTGTGGTTAATGATAAATTAAGTTGTTTAAATTCAAATATTTAGAGCTATCATTCTGGAATTTGGATTATCTGAACAAAAGAAAGTTTGAACTGAATCTTGTGAAAATTAAGTTGCTTCTTATATTGTCTGAATAAAGCATACTGATGGTGCTGTTACACAATCATGTGCTCCGCTTGATGTATTAATTTTTTCATTGCATTGGTGTGTTTCAGCGTGATCTTCTGTGAAGCTGTTGCTATTTATGGTGTTATCGTGGCTATCATTCTGCAAACCAAATTAGAGAGTGTTCCAAAGTCAAGTATATATGCACCTGAGTCTCTTAGAGCTGGATATGCAATTTTTGCCTCTGGAATAATCGTGGGCTTTGCAAATCTTGTTTGTGGGTATGTATCTTCTTGGAACTTGATGAAATTTTCTCGATGAATTGAATTTAGATTTTATTCTTCATGCTTTCTTTTAATTATTCGATTTGATTTCTGGGTGTCAGGTTATGCGTTGGAATAATTGGAAGTAGCTGTGCATTGTCTGATGCTCAGAACTCCTCACTTTTTGTGAAAATTCTTGTGATTGAGATCTTTGGCAGTGCGCTTGGGCTATTTGGAGTTATTGTGGGAATTATTATGTCAGCTCAAGCAACATGGCCCTCGAAAGTTTAGTTTGCTGTTTATGAGAACGTGGGAATGCAGCTATCACGGAGCACCATGTGTTTTTAGTGCTGAAGATGAATGCCCTTTTCTGTTTACCCTTTTTACTAGGAATGGGAAGTCTAGCCGAATAGTTTGCCTCGGTTGTTATTATATGCTGTGTCATTTACCAAAGAGGTGTTAGAGAGCTTTGTGCAATATCAGTTAATGTTATTTTGTGGATGAGTTTCAACTTCATGTACTCTTGAAAGACTACATTATTAATTCATTAATGAATAAGCGTGAAATTATTTGGTCTTCAAATAATGATAAGCAGCAGTTCTCTGAACTCCAAGGTCCTTATTGGGTTCCCGGTCATCACTGTGATTTTAATAAAATTCCTGTTTTCAGTTTCTCTAAAGCTGATTGTCCCTTCGGAAGAAAATTCATATATTAATAATGAAGACATTACAAATTATTCCATTAAAAGTGAGGACAAGTTGCGAAAAGGAGAACAATAAAAAGAGAGAAACCAGATAGAGGTATAAGAGAAACAATAATGGTTATATCAGTCGTTGGCATCACTGTAATACGCAAATTGATGTTCTAATGATACTGGCAATCAAATGGAATCAAGTATGGAGGGCACATGGGTGAAGAAGGGTATGTTCTTCTGCTGAAGCTCCTGGTAATCCTCAGGCGTGGGTGACTTGGGGTTGAAAGGCTCTCTCTCAGGGAGAACTAATCCTTGCTTTAAGCGTCCCAAACGCCTCGCATGCAGAACTTGCTTCGAACTTACTGGTAGCCTAATGGATTCATATTCCTCCAAAGCTGATCGTAGTTTTCCAAATCCCCACTTCTCTATGCATTTTCCTAGCACCGCTGCGTCTAATATTGACATGTTTGCGCCCCTCAAGCAGTGAGGAGTTGTGGGGTGAGCCGCGTCTCCTACTAACACCACGTTGTCCCAGAATATTTTCTCCAAGGGATCACTGTCATATATGAAATTCAAAAATGGATCCTCTGTATTCTTCATCACGTCTACCAACTCAGGAATCCACACATTCTCTGCCTCTCGGAGCATCTTCTGGATCATGTCTCTACTCACTTTCATGGTCACCGAGGTTCCCTAAAGCAAATAGCCAGCAAACTTTGTTAGAGGAAAACCGGTTATTATCAGAAGAAGGATAAGAGGGACAATTACCTGGACGTCAGGCTCTGGTTGATTCACATACCAAATCCAATTAAGCCTTTTATTTAGGAGCTCATAGAACACATTGTGCGTGCCTGATCCCAAGTCAAAGTACAAGCATTTGCCAAGATCAGGGTATGCCTTTCGGATGTTAGTAATGGTTTCAGAATTCTCAGCTTTCGAATAATCAAGAACCCCTCTCCAAGCCCAATAGCCTGAATATCTGCAAGATTAGTCCTTAGAGGATTTCTACACGTGCGAAGGTAATTTTGTATGTGTAAGTATGGTAGAATCAGATTCGAGATAGAAACCTTAATTTAAAATGAGGGAGGAATCTCTGGCGGATGGAAGAGAGACAGCCATCTGCTGCAACAAGCAGATTCCCTACTATCTCGATGATCTCACCCGTTTTCAGAACTCTAGCTTTTACTGCAACAGAGGCTTTATCATCCGCAATATGAAAAGAGAGAAATAGGTGACCCCACAGAAATACATTTGGTGGCAATGCATTGTACAGAAGGCCATGGAGATCACCCCAATGTGCTGCTCTGAAGTTGAAACCCTCATCTCTTGTCAATGTCCGGTTCACCTTGTTTTCACTATCAGTTACCTGGTTCTGCTCAAGAAACCACAGACCAATCAAGTCATTGTTTTACTCAATCGAGAAACACTACGGTGTCTTAAACGATTCCAGCTTCAACCAAAGATCAAGATTATCGCTACAATTTTTCCAATTACAACTTTCAGCTCCTAAATTCAGAAAAATGCAAAAACATAAGTTCGTTTATTCAATTCGGGTTAACCAATAAGGGAAAGAATTCGGAGATACACTGTTTTTAGTTCACAATCCCTCGATCAACCAAGAAGACCAAAAGTTTTTTGGGAAAAAAAAAATTAGAAATGAATATCTGTAGAAGGAGGAAAAAAGCACGAAGACGGAGAAGGAACCGAGATTTTCAAAGCGGGACCTGATCAATGGTAAGTGGTACGGTAGAGTCGTGGAGGAGCTCCTGACGAGAAAGCCATGAACCAATGATGCTTTGAGCGAGAGGTTCGAGTCCGAGACCAGCTCCGGCGGGACTTCCGGTGGAAGGAGTGGTGGTTTTCTCAAGCACCACCACGTCCCAGCCGGCGGAACAGAGTGCATGTGCGGTTGATACCCCAGCTATACTTCCCCCAACAATCACCACCTTTGGTTTTCGATCGCCAGCCATCTTTTCTGTTTTATCTTCCAAGCAAAACTTAGCCACACAAGCAGAGCAACGATCGTGTTTTTGATAGAAATGAAAGAATTAACATTAATGGTAATAGAAGTATCCGGTAATTTACTGAGACGTAGTGCTGATTTATTACCATTTGATTCTTCAATTTTTAGCTGTCGCTTTCCAATATCAGTTATCAAAACGTGATTCACCGCATTAGAGCAACTGAGAGGAGAGAGATGATTTCATATTGGCAAAAGGTGATGTTTTGCTCAACTCTTGCTTGTTAGACATTTAAGAGGGGAAATAACCTCTGAATCACACCACTTCACTTTTGTTCTTTCAGATTTACGAGAATTATATGTAATCCTATTGCCCGCCATTCTCTTGCACTCTCTCAGGCCATGAGACTTCTTTGCAGTCCAGAAAAGTAAGAAAACATGGATCTTGCATGAAACCAAAACAACTTTTTGCTCAGCTTAGGTACATGTAAAATATAAATGGGTTGGGCGTAACTAAATACATGCCCGTAGAATCCATAGATACATGTTTGTGTCTCGAGGACCAGCTATAACCCCCATTACTAGCTAAATATATTACATATGTACAAATTTTACAGAGAATACTAATAGACTCATAGCTGATTTGGTCTTTCCTTGGACAGCAGGCTACATGAAAATTTGATCCTTGCAAGATTTTCAATACGCCAACCCTCCAGCAAAAGTATCATTATCATTAAGTAGAGACTCCGTCAACCAATAACCATCCCAGCAACCACCAACTCTCTGCCAATTACAAGCAACGTAAAGATAGTTCAGTTCAGTTATACTGCATCGTAACTGAGGCCATATATTAGATTCATATTTCATGGATACAGAGGTTGAGATTATTGAATAGGAAAATGACTGCCAAAATACTTCATCGGTGATTAGCCATTTGTCGATTGAAATCGGCAAAACTCAGAACTAATTGCAGGAATGCATCAAACATATACATCATATGTATGTGAGCTGTCTGCCATACGAGACATATGATCACTACTGATATATAATGTGTACCCTGGACAGGTGTGCGCGCAATCACGTTGGAGGTAAAGTCAAAACCACGTTTTGGCAAAAGCAGCTCAGACCCGTTTTGACTCCCGCCAACGTGATTCCAAACATCCAAATGTGACGCCAAAAAGGATGTGAGAAGCAAGCTTCTAAATGCCTTTTGGTTGAAAATGGAATATGAAATGCCTTGCAAGAATGCAATCATAATGAGAGGTGCCATGATCAGACCTGCACCATGGTAAATTGAAATATCTCCTCTTCCTCTGGTCTATTCCCCCTGATCCAAAGCCGTTGCTTATATTGGTTCTGTTCAAAGTTCATCAATAAGATTAATGGTATAAAAGGAAGACGGAAATAAGGGGACATTGGGAATTATACATCCACAAAGGCAGACATACATATTTCTCTTACATGAAATGACCTGAACGTACACAACCACAGATTTAGAAATAAACATACATTTTACTAGAAATGTAAAAGAGATACCTCCTCCACAAACAAACTGCTCAAGATCTTTCTTTCCTTGTGACCTAGTAGCACTCGATAGGTTGAGTGGTGAAAAATACGCCTAAACCTTTCAAACTGCACTGGGCAACTGTGAACACTATCAACATAAACATTAATCAGCTGTATAATGAAAGGAAAAAGTTATCATTACTAACCTGGCCCAAATCGAAAAATGGTCCAAAATAGGTTGATCTTTCAAAAGGATCAAACCCAGCGAACTATAATAGCAGAAGAACAGAATTACTAAACAAGTTGCTTCCTTGATGGCAAAAAAGCTGCAAAAAAGTTTTTAAGTATCAAGATTACCCTGTACATAACCTCAATTCCATAATCTTGACGGGGTTGGTCGTTGTATTTCAATGCTTCAAGCTGATAATGTACAGCTTCTTCTGCATTAAACTATAAGAACAGTTAATGACTAAAATATAAAGGGGCACGTGGTAACGTCAATCAGTCACATCAAGCATAGCCAATGAATTACATCTAATCTCGGGCCAAAAGGTCTTTTCTTGCGAGATTCAAGCCTGCAGGACAGAAAACCAAGAAATTGCAAATTACTATATGACTAATGGGATTAAAATGTCGAAGAATAGGTTCTCCACAATCCGTACAAAGACACTGCTGATAAAACTAAATTTTCTTTTCCCAAAATATCTTTTGGCACTGCAATTTTTACTGTACTGTTCTGCCACTTTCATGTTTTGTGTCGGATTCACAAGGCATGTGCAGGTAATGGCCTAGACACGACATAAAGTAACTATATTAATCTGTTTGCATCTAAGTTTATTAACAACGGCAGTTCGTGGCAAAAAAACTGCTCTCTCAGTTCCATACCATAAGAATGATCATCCTTACTACGTAGATTGTACTTGTTATATACCGATTCTCCTCAATAATTTCTGAAACGAAAATGCTGAATTTTATTTTACTACTATAAATTTCTTAAGTAATATAGGAAATGTATCATTCAAATAAAATAGAAAGGAACTAAGCTTAGCTAATTGTCCGATGGAAAAAGCTGAAAAATGAGAGCAGTCAAAATCCCATCAAGAGCAAGCGTCAGCAGATGGGGATGAAGATAACGAGGCATACCAATTAGCAGAAAGAAAATCGGGAACGTCAGCAGAAGCCTTGAAGCGAGAAGTTAAACAAGTTCTGTTTTGGGTGGTGAAAGATTTGGCCTTGGATAAGAATGAAGCAGACTGAGGAGGCAACAGAGATGAACCAAACGACATCGTCGTTTCCTTGTACCCTCCTAATCCCTGCTTGCTTAGTTTTTGATGGTTGCCATAATCGTCTTCTGAAGATGAGGGGTGTTTGATCGTTCTGTCGTGCACGTTTGTGTTTCGATGACGGACCAATTCGATCTGCGCCACACCTGTTTGGGCTGTGTTTTGCGCATTTATTAGTTCGTGATAAGCTTATTTTTTTTTCGATCAAAGAGTTGGGCGCGTTTTTGCGGCACCTTATTTTGGACAGAACAACATTCGAAGCTAATACTCCAAAAATAAAAACAATAAAACCATGTTTTAAAAATGATGTGAGAGAAATTTTAAAAGTATTTTTTAGTGAACCAAATACCCCGAAGACATTTCCTTGTTCTCTCCTTCACAATCTTCTTTGATGAATTAGTTAAAATAAGTTTATCGTTATATTCACGGATTGAGGTAAAGGGATTTGAGATGTTTTTTTCCCCTTTTTTCCTGCTGAAAAATTGTTTCAAATAAATTTGACTCATCGAGGTTCGAACCGGCGTTTTGAAGGTCAAAACATCACATCAAAGGGGCCAAAATGTGCCACGCGTCACATTACTGAACGTGCGTGCGCAGACTCGCCAGGTCACCGCCTCACGCGCAGTTGCTCCATCAGGTACTCCCCTCCCACACTCCCGCTTTGCTCTCTCTACCATGAGACGGGCTACTCCACCGTTCCAGGTCCTCGCCGCCGCCGCCGCCTCTGACGCCAACGCCGCCATTATGTTTCCGAATAAGCATGTATACTCTTACTGTCGATTCCTGCCTGTTCTGTTGAAACCGCAAACTTGTGTGCCCGAGTTTAATGTCCACTTTTTACTCCTTTTTGTAGCCTCGTGGACGGGGAAGAGGATTCTTCAACCGTCCCTATTCCGGTGGGAGGCAACAGCTTGTGACTGGCGACGAGCACTTCCAGTCAGTCCATGATGTCAATTCGGGGTACCGGCGAGAAGAAAGCGGAAGCTTCGCGAACCCCCGGCGAGACCGGAATCCACCTTTTAATCCAAGACCTTCCCCACCTTACCATCGGAACCCACAGTTTCGTCACCCTTCTCCTTCTAATCATGCTCAACAGTTTCGTCACCCTTCTCATCACAATCATGCTCAACAGTTCCGTCATCCTCCTCCTTACAATCACTCTCCTCCTTACAATAGAGCTCAAAAGGTTCGACCGCGGCCTCCGGATTACCGAGATTGGGAGTATGCTGCTACGCCACCTCCCCCTGATTGCGGTAACTTCACGCCTATGTAGTTATAATATTGTTGACTTATCCCGGGCCTTCAAATTTAGCTTTAGGAAGAGGTCTATGAGGCAAGTTTTTCTTTTGCCTAATGAATTTGTGTTTTTTTGATTTAGTATCCCATAACTAAGCTGGAGTTTCTGGTGAAGTAATGTTAAACTGGCCTACATTTTAATTCATGATAATATAATCCTTTGTCATTACTTTCCTGATTAGAAGGGGTCTGCAAACATTCTATTATTAAGAATTTCTCTATACAGGTTTATTGATAAATTTGATTATTTCGTATGATATATCTGTGTTGGTTTCACTGTAATATTTTGTTTTTTCCTCGTCACAGACCGGTTTATAATTCTTTCATATAATATATTGGCTGACTACCTTGCTATTGATCACCGGAGCAAACTTTACTCTCACATACCTCCTTGGATGTTGGACTGGCAATGGAGAAAGAGAAATATACTTTTTGAACTTGGATTGTGGTCGGCTGATATCATGTGTCTACAGGTTATCTATCTGCAATACATTATTACACCGCACTGATTAATCCTATCACAAATAACTTGATTTAAGAGTTTTTATGTGCTAATTCTGTTATGTGCTTTTCAAGATTTAGTTTGGCTTCCATAAGACATTATGAACTGCTGATATTGAACTTAGCCATATAAGAATGATGTATTGAAGAGGAGTCTCTTCAATTTAATATCGCCTACTTTTACCTAGTTTCAAAACAATAATTGAAAATTTTCCTTAGGGTCTCGTGCAGATCGCATTACCTTTAGCTCTTATTTGTGCTTGTATGGGCTATACTTAAACTGTTTGATTGACCATCAACAGAGTATTCCTGTATAATATATTATCACTTCCAGGAGGTTGATAGATTTGATGATTTGGAGGAGGAGTTGAAGCACCACGGATACAGCGGCATCTGGAAGGTGCGTTAACTTCTTCAATCCTTGCTATGCAACTTTTTATGAGCATTGCTTTGATAGAGGCTTCATTTTTTGAATGAATTTCTGTAAGTGTTATCAAGGGACAATGTTCTTCATATTTATTTAGTGATCAGATGCAACAAGATATGTCATTAATCATCATGAATTTGAAAGGCTTAAGTGTCCCGTTCAATAAAGGCTGTTAGGAGTTTGTTGCTGTCGAGTTTGATCACCCTTTTTAATCCATCGTCTTTTGGAGAATGAATGCTATCTATACTGAGTCAAACAGAGAAAAAGTTATGCTTCACTTGGTGGACATATTGAACATTTGTGCCCCATCATTTACTTGATGGATTGGGTGCTTTGTCACTTCTCCTCAATGTTATTAGCTATGATATAACTTAGTCATGTGAAATGTCCTATTTTCAGCATCATCGCTTTCAACAGTGTTCCTTTTTATCTTCCAGCATATTTATTTATTTGTTGGTTAATCATCTGATGCTCAGATTATTGCAACAAAAAGGCTTGAACTGCATGATTAAGTCTAATCTTATTTCATTTAACATATAGATGCGTACGGGTAATCCAGTTGATGGTTGTGCGATCTTTTGGCGAACATCAAGGTCCTCTACAGCTTTATTGTGAACCATGCTGATTTTGAAGCCTAAATGCTGCTTTCTATTTGCTTAATGTAACTTCAATTCCTTAATATGATGCTAACAGAGTTTACTTGTCTAAAATTTAACTCATGTTTAAACATCATGTATAATCAAGAGTCTTGTGCTAAATGTTTTCCAAGGCAAGGTTGCATTCATAAGAATCCATCTCACTTTTGCAATATGCTTTAAAAGTCGCATTCAGTGAGATTATTAACATCTTGGATGTTAATAATCGAAAGGGGTTTGATCAATTGATGGAGGGATAATATTTCATTATCTCTCTCTATCATCTTGGATTCAATTCGTCAAGAGAGCACTCTCTGATTAAAACCAGAGATCCAGTAGGCCAATGTTAGGAAACGGCACCTTTAAGATTTCCCGGAGAGAAGATTGGTTCCCGCAATGTATGAGTGATACTCATGGCCCTGAACATCAGAAGAAGAAAAAATAAAAAAGATAATAATAAATCAATTCAAGTTCTCTTTTGGCATGCCTCAAATATTTTGGCTTTATGATATTTTTAATACCTCTAACCGTTTTTGTGTTTTCTTGGCAGTATCTATGTATAAATTATTATTATTTTGGCTTGAAATGGAGGTTAACCATTAGCTTGACCTTGCTGGTGCTAGCTGCTGAAAATAGTTTCATTCATGCTTATATCTGGTAGGTTCAATTTGCGGTATGAAGAATGCATTGAGTTTAATAAGATGGGGCTTAGGGACAATGTCGCTCAGATATGTGTGCTAGAGGTACATGATAAGTCTTTCATATTTGTGTGTTTTTTTAATCTAATTTGTCTCTTCCTTGGTGCGCATGCACACATTTTACGTGATTTTCTGCCTTGAACAGTTAACAAATCAAGATAGATGTCCACCATCAAGGTATTTACCCATCCTTTTGTAACTTGGATTTGTACACTTTTATTAACTTTAATTTCTCGTAGTGAAACTAATGCTTCCTGCTTGGTTCAAGAGTCAGAAATTTTCAATTTTCTGATAAAGTACTTTCATGAAAAAATCTTTTTTGTTTAGGGGTGTGCTTCTCCCATGAGAAGTTAGAAGGAGAAAGCACGATAGAGTCATTTTGAAATAGAGACAAAAAGCAAGATGAACCACTAGAATGTGTGTTCCAGTTTTCCAAATAAAGTCAACATGGCTGATATCTTTCCTGAAAAGCCTGGAAGTTTTATCATTAAAATCCTCAGAAGACGTGAATTCTTCTATAAATTTAACAGGATATTGATACATTGACATGAAGCTTTGTAATGGTGGGTCATGTATGAGGCCAAGGTTTATTTGACTTGGGCTTTAATTGTAGTAGAATGGCTGGTTTTTCTTCATGATTGAGGCATCCTGAGTGTCATAGATTTTCTTTGCACATATATATTTCCTTGGGTATACATCTTTATTATTGGATATTTTTATGCTCAATCTAACATCATTGCAAGGTATCTGCAGCCCAACGAGCTCTAATAAAGTTGTGATTTGTAATATACACGTTCTTTACAATCCCAACCGAGGAGAAATAAAGCTTGGTCAGGTATGCACTGTCTTTGAAGCAGGCTCTATGTGATTATTTATTTATAATTCTCTGACATTTTTTCTTTCCCAATCTTTATTTCATTATCAGTTTAGGAATTGGAATGAATAATTTGATATATTTGTCTCTTTAAAGCTGTGGAAGATTACTCCTACTTTTGACTCTACAGACATTACTTGGCATAATCTCATTGCGGGAGGAATTTTTTTGTTTCTTACCCTCCATCTTTTTACTTCTTTTCTTTTTCATGGCAAATACTGCTGCTGCCTTTCTTCTTGTAATTGCTTTCTGCTATGAATTTACTTCAAGCAGGTTAGAGTGCTACTGGACAGGGCTAAGGCTGTTTCTAAAATCTGGGATGATGCTCCAGTTGTTATCTGTGGGGATTTTAATTGTACTCCAAAGGTTATCTTTTCCACTCTTTTTTTTTTTGGGGCGTTTTTGTGTATGTGAAATGCTGCTTCCACTATTATGAGTTAACAGTTTTTTAAATCTCGTGTCAGAGTCCATTGTACAACTTTATTTCAGAACAAAAGGTAAATTGGTGGCCCTTTACTCTCTTTCTTCAGGTTTTATGATTGATGCAGATTAAGCTACAAAAATAGTAATTTCATTTTATTACAGTTAAATTTGGCCGGACTAGATAGGGATAAAGTATCAGGACAAGCTTCTGCTGAGATTCGCAGACCAAGGCTTAATGTCCCTAATTCTAGGTATATTCTGTCCATGCCGTGTCTATGCTATTAAATTAATTTAATTTATCTAATAACATCTGGCAAAATAATGCAGTGAAAGATCTGCAAATGGTTCTGTTCAAGACATATCTGCTCTGGGTAGCAAGGAAGTTTATGTTGAACAAAATACTTGTTCCTCAGACATGCAGAAGTCGGACAATCAAGGTAACATGGTGGAAAGTCAGTATAATCAGATTGCATCGGATATGTCTACTAAGTCTTCTACAGATGTGCAAAGTGAAGATGGGAGCGGTGCTTCATATAATGCAGAGTATATTCAGCATACTACTGTAGACAATTATATGGCTAGCAATGAAGCTGATGGTGCAAAAGAAGAGTCCATTGCATCTTCTAATGAAGGTAGGTTGCTTGCTGATCATATAAATAATGACATTCAGGACATCACACTTATGACATCTTTAGCTCTTAAAGCTGTTTCCCCTGATAAAGCTGGGATGGCATGCACAGAAAAAATATCAGAGGCCGTCTCTTCTTCAAATCCAGAATCAGCGAGTGAACAATTCAACTTGGATATTCCTAAAGGAAATAAACACACTGAGTTTGGCAATTGCTCACCCTCCCTTGGTGAAGACAATCAATCTTTCGGGGTTGAATTAAATCCTGAGTCATCAGAGCTGCCCGGTGTAGAAATTTCTTCAACTAACCCTTCTAGTCAGATATTAGTTTCTGATTCTATTAAAACCTCTCATTTGACGTATGAAAAAAGCCCATCATTTGAGCTGACATCTGATGTCCAAGTGAGTGGCACTTTAACCTCATATCAAGCTGACAAATCATGGCAATCTGCGGACAATGACCTTTCATTAGATGAGAAACTGGAGAAACTATCCCTTGATGAGGTGGATAAAGATATATTGGGCGGTGAAAATAGTAGTGAAGATATTGATGCCTTTACATCCGCATTACATAATGATCAAGAAGGGTTCCTGCCATCATTTGGGACAGATCTTGAAAAGTCAGGTAAGTCTGACAAACTGGAGTCTGCTTCTGACAATTTGCTACTCCATGCACCAAGTGACGTAGTGGAGCGTGACTAACCTTCACGTCCAACATCCGTGTCTCTTGATGCAGAGAGTACCACTTACAATCCATCCTTGTGGACTTCTACGGAGATAGAGACTGCAACAGGCAACTCAGATTGCACCTTCTTGGAGCACTCTCTGCCTCTGAGGAGCACCTATGTTGAAGTTATGGTAGATCTCAAACTTTTTTGGCACATTTTTTACGGGACAAATTGTCACATTTCTTGCTTGTGTCGTTCTGAAAAATGCAAATTGAGATATCTTGCAGCCTTACTATTTTAAAACTTCTGCTCGTCTATTATTCTCATGCTACTTGGTGCTTTTTGCATGCCTGCAGTATTGTCCGGGAACTAGGGACCCTAATGGAGAACCCCTGGTGACCAGTTATCATCGACGCTTCTTGGGTACTGTTGACTACATTTGGTAGGTGTTAAGACTCTTAAAAGCCTACGGGTTGCTATTTTACTACCCCCTGCTGCCTGCTTGATTTTGGATTGAAATCAGAATGATCATACCATGAAATAATGCTATCTCTGATGTTCTAGAATATACATTATGGTTTTCCTGAGTAGTAATTCTGGCATAACTGATTTTCATTCAAAAGTTGATTTTACGCATTGTATCCTTATATCTGGGTTAAAAGAGGTTGATAGAATATTTGATCTGGGGTATAGGCGATCTGATGGTCTCCAGACGATTAGGGTGCTTGCTCCGATACCCAAACATGCTATGGAATTCACTCCAGGATTCCCAACAAAGGTATGGTTAAATGTTTAGCCATTTTGTTTGAAAGATTAACTGGAAGAGGTATTTTATTGAGGTTTAGAATGTGATTGTATGTAGGACTCGCAATTCTATCATTACACTAGTCATTTCTCACCTCTACTCAATCTATCTTCTAATGCATCATGTACACCCTCATTTGTGAATTTGAAGGATCCATATTGGTTACAACACTCATTTTGATGCGTTTGGCAATAGAGTTCAATGCAAGGGGATAGGCATTTTAGTATTTTGCTTACCCGTGCTCGTCTAGATCCTGAATTATTAATTTTCATAGCTACGTGCTTTGCTTCTGAATGGATTGCTGCTTGAGTTTTATTAACTCCTTTTCTGTCTGTACACAGAAGTGGGGTAGCGATCATATTGCATTAGTTTCCGAATTGGCGGTTGTGAAAGGTGTTGCCAATGTCAGCGCGGGCATTCAATAGCAATTTACTCAGTAATTTACTCAACTTTCCTTTAATTTCTCTTTCGTTCTTTTTTTTCCCTCCTCCCCTTCTGATAAGAATGTAACTTTTCAATTTTGAAATAGCCAAATTTGGTTCTGAGGAAATGTTTTAGGTTGAGAGGTCCGGTCAACGTATTTTAAGGATAAGATGTATCCCAGCCGTATATCTTTGTAATTTCATTAATTTAGTTATCCTCAAATCGATGTTGTGGTTGTAAATAAAATAGAAAAGAAGTAGAAGTTGGGGCTAAGGGGCTAGATTATTTTAGGGGAAAATAAGCATGTGCTCCTTACCTCTGGGTCATATCTAAAATGAGCCTGAGCGGGAGATTGGAATTACCGGAAAAGCTCAAGTTACTAATATACCCAGCCTTTTTTCTTCTTCTTTTTTTCTGTTTGACCAGCAGTTACTAATATACCCAGCTGATAGTCAAGTTTAACTTCTCTAATGTCCTACGCGGCGAAAGAAACTTCTTTGAGCAAATCCTACTTCATCGTTTTGGTTTGAATTGGCATGTTGGATCCAGCTAAGGTTATTCCATAACTCACCGAAATGTTTACCTTTTGTTACCTTTGTACTCCTCCCGTCCTAAATATATAATTCTTGTATTAGTATGTATAAAAATATTTAGGACCAGAGGTGTGATTTGGATCTCGCTGGCTGTTTAATTTCAATACAGGCTATCCAGTTCTATCCGCTGGTGCCCATTAACGATTAACGGCATATAAAGATCGCCGGCATTCAGTTTTACCCATTACTACTACGTATAATTACATGGAGAGTGAATCAAGCCAAGCATATCTGTTTATACGAATAGGGATTACTACTAAAATCATCACAGAAGGCAGTTTGTATCAAGCTCAGTTATCCACAAAATAAAATATCCTCAAATTTACAATAAAGTTGCACGTTTTGCAAGGTCGATTCTAACACGCGGAAGACCTCACTCCTTGGACGACTTGTTAATGAGAGACTTGTGAATATGAGGAATGACACCTCCCCCTGCTATAGTTCCCTTAATGAGGGTGTCAAGTTCTTCGTCTCCACGGATTGCGAGCTGAAGATGTCTTGGTGTAATGCGCTTCACTTTCAGATCCTTACTTGCGTTGCCGGCCAACTCCAAAACCTCGGCAGTTAGATACTCGAGGATAGCTGCAGAATATACTGCGGCGGTCGCACCTACTCGTCCGTTGGCTGTCACCCTCGACTTCAAAAGCCGGTGAATACGTCCCACTGGAAACTGTGCAAAAAATTATACAAGACGATAATGCATCAGTTACCTTGACGAATTATCATCAAAATCACAATTTAGCTTAGATTAAAGCCTTTCCCAGAAGTTCGTCACAACTCGAACCACACCACATAAATTTGAAGAACATAATGCAAATATTCAACAGCTGCTTGCAATAATGGTTCACATAGCAAGCAACAATCCCTCACTCACCACCAATTTTTTTGTCCCATTTACTGCCCCCGCTCATATTTTGTAATGTAACATATTTGGTTTAAATCAATCTCAACAAAAACTAACAGCCGTCGTACGAGTAACCAATGCTAGGAGGTAGCCATAGAAGGGAAACACAATACGAATCTACACTGAAGTGGGGGAAGGGAAGAGAGAGAATATTAACGATTATAATGTAAAATGTTTATTAGCGTGAAGATAATTATACCATTCCACACATGGTTTGAGCCTCAAATTCCATTAGTCCATCTCTTGAGCTAATAACCACGAGGATTCATGACGAGGCCAAGACCTAATGGAAAATGCTGAGCGGTTGAGGAAATTAACGATGAATGCATTCGACAGTTCAAAAGGAAAGAACCATTAAACTAATCACAGCATAGGACATAAGAGGAATCACCAATGTTGATCCCTACAAGTCATATTTCTCAACGACACTATGAACAAAACCTCAGGACCAGCAGCTACTTCCGGCCATGTCCCTAAGATCACTAAAACAAATCCATCCTGTCAGAGCTCTCTGGAGCCATATCTCTAAGTGGTTACTCCACTAAGCTAATCCACACGAGGCCTTGGTCCCATTCAGATGAGTAGTTATAACTTGAACAGATATATACACACCTTAAACAAGTCCATTTCATTTCATATGCGCTTCAGTATGATACGGTTCTCAGCAAACGAGTAACCGATGAGCTAATCAACCAAAGCATCCAACTATTACTTCTTGTTAAAGTAAAAGGAACAGAAAAGATTATGAACAGACAAGCATCAATGTTATGCCGTATAGAGCATATTGTAGAAGTTTGCGACCTGCAACTCTAATCATCTGCCAAATGGCATGATTGTTATCCGCACAAAATTAAAGCACGGATCTAAAAACGATCCACAGACACGCAATTGATTCATCATCGACGAATTAGCGAAGGCTTTGCGACTAGAGAACGTGAATTATGAAAATGAAATGTGTGAGCAGGAGAACAACGAAAATCAAGGGGAATGATTGAATGAAAAACCTGAAGACCAGCGCGAGAGGAGCGAGAAACGGGCTTCTTCTTGTCCTTGTCCTTGTCCTTGTTAGCAGCTGGGGTTTTACCCATTATCAACCCTTTCGCTCCTTTTCCCGACATCTTTCACTGCAATTTGCTGAATCTACAAGGAATGAACCCAACAAACACCAAAATGATGCGGGAGACAGGACCTCGCCTGTTTATTGCGATTTTCTTTCCTGAGTTACCCCTAATCGCTTGATGCAATTACGAAATAGAGCGCTTTTGCTTCTGCACATAGGCCGGCCCATTGTGATGTACGAATTCTCAAGTGGATTGGGCCTAGGCCTATAGACTCGATAGTCCGATGTTCATCATTCCTCACTCCTTTTTTTTTTTGAGTTGAAAGGTGAATTTATTGCTCAAAAGTATTTACAAGGGTAAGACAAGCTGACAACAAACAAGACCAGAAGGACGCAAGAATTAACATAGAAGTCGACAGGCTCTCATAGATTGTTCACAAAGAGCAATGACTTCATTGACTAGCAGCGAGGCTTGCGTAATTTCTTGTCTGAAAATATTGCGGTTCCTTGCGTCCCAAAGGCACCAACATAAGAGTCCAAAAGTGGTACACCAAGCAGGGTTGGATTTGTGAGTTCGTAGGTTGTCAAGCAGCCAATCATTGAAGGGCGTTGAAAGGAACTTAGCTAGCTGGTGGTCTGGAATGATCAACTGCCAGCAGTCCGACACTAGCTTGGACCTTCGCAATACATGGTCTAGGTCCTCACTATCCCAGCCGCATACTCCACAGGTATCTTGTTCGGCCATGTGTCTTTGTCTCCTTTCTCTATCTGTGAGTAGCTTATTATGCATCGCCAACCACAAGAAAGTTCTAACTCTTTGGGCTCCCGGCCATTGCCATGCATATTTCCATTTGGCGTCTTCGATGTGCTCTTAGTCTGATTTTATCAAGTTGTAAGCTGAACTGACAGTGAACTCACCATTGCTATTGAACCACCATGTCCCACGCCTTGGGAGGCTAGCATGTGCTTCCTGCGGCAGGGGGCTACTAGAGATTTTTTTGATTAAGGAGCTTGGCAGCTTGTCTTGTATTGTGGTTAAATCCCCTTCTCCATCATTTGAGACGAAGTTGCTTAATGTTATTTGGCGTTCTTCATTTGAAGTGGGTGTGTAAGAGAGATTAGCAAGTGGTCCTAGCTCACCCACCTAGTGGTCAGTCTAGAACCTTATATGCTCGCCATTCCCAACGTCCCATTTGATCCCCAATTTTGCAGCTTCCCAAACAGCGCTCATGTTTCTCCAAAGATGGGAGCTGTTGGCTGTTCTCATTTTATCTGTAGGGTATCCATTCCACTTGGCCTTGAGTACCTGAACCCATAACAGGTTGGGCTGGTTAATGAGCGCAAATATTAACTTCATGAGGAAGGCTGCATTTTGACTTTTCAACTCGCGGATTCCATCACCACCTTGGTTTTTGGGTTGGCACATGTCCTTCCATCCGAGAAGGTTAACGCTTTTGTGATGCTCCGTTCTACCCCATATAAAGTTTCGGATTAAGGTTTCCAGCCTTCCACAGATTGAAATGGGAATCTTAGTCGTTTGCATAGCATACAGGGGAATGGTGGAAAGAGCAGACTGTGCAAGAGTGATACGCCCTGCTAAGGATAAGGAGTGAGCTTTCCATCCTGAAAGTTTCTTCTACATGCGTTCCTCAATGTATTGATATGTGTCTTTGGTGACGCAGCCATGCAAGAGAGGTACACCCAAATATTTTCCCAGTTGCTCTGTTTTTTGAAAACCTAAGCTGCTACATATTGAGTTTACCGTAGAAGCTGCAACGTTCTTTGAGAAGTAAATGTTGGTCTTTGCTTGGCTCACTCGATGCCCGGATGAAGCACAAAAGTCAGCAAGGATTTGATGGATGAGGTTTACTTGATGTTGGTCAGTGGAGCTAAATAGGACCATATTGTCTGCAAAGAATAAATGTGACAGTTGAGGTCCGCCCTTTCCCAGCTGGATAGGCTTCCACTGTTTTTGTACTACCGCCTTGTTTATGGTTTGGGAAAGCCACTCCATACATAAGATAAAGATGTATGGGGAGAGTGGGTCACCTTGCCGAATCCCCCTTTGTGTGTGAAGGGCCTACCGGCTGAGCCATTCCAGAGAACCTGCATAGTCGGCCTCGTACTACATTTCATAATGAGTTGAACAGTACTATCCGGAATCTTTGCATTAAGAAGTGTATCTTCAATGAAATCCCATCTTAGTCAATCGAAGGCCTTTTCTAGATCCACTTTGATTGCCATCCAACCTTGTTTTCCAATCTTTCTTCTCATCGTATGTATGACTTCCTAGGCGACGATTATATTGTTTGTGATATTCCTTCCTTGTATGAAGCTAGATTGGAAGGGAAGTGCAAGTTGTTCCATGATTGGTTTCAACCTATTGGCAATGATCTTAGTGAGCAATTTGTAGATTGTAGTACACAGGCTAATAGGACGGAACTCTCTCAGTGTTTGGGGTTGCTCCACTTTCGGGATAAGACAAATGAGAGTTTGGTTAAAGTGCGGCTCAAGCTCCCCTCCTTCGAAGATATCTCTAACTCCCTTAAAAACAGTGTCACCAACTATATCCTATTGGGATTGAAAGAAAAGAGCGTGCATACCATCAATGCTGGGGGCCTTTAGCAGGTGCATGTCAAACAACACCTTCCTGGTTTCTTCTTGGTGACTGGGCTACTAAGCAAGAGAGCGGAAGACTCATTACATGGGGGAAACATGCCCTTATTGTATCGCACAGGCTGTTGGTTCGGGTCGGAGGTGTAAATGTGTTGAAAGTAAGCCGACATCATTCGATTGAGGTCTCTCTGATCAGATTCCCAAACACCATCTTGATTCTTGGGCATGGAAATTCTATTACAACGGCGTCTTATTAATGCTTTAGTGTGGTAGTAACTCGTATTCTGATCACCTTCATTAATCCATTGGCTCTGAGATTTCTGCAGCCATAGGATCTCCTCTCTCAGACATATGTTCTCGTATTCAGCAATGAGTGATTTTTCCCGATCAAGTAGGAAGCTAGAGAAAGGTTGTCTTTCTAAAGCTCTTTGCATCCCCAGGAGGCGTTTACGAATGTCCTTTTTGCTTTCTCCGATTGAGCCAAATACATCTTTGTTCCATTTTCTAGATGCTTCTGTAAATTTTTCTAAATTCTCCCAAAGCCCTTTTTCTTGGTTCCAGCTATGCAAAACTAAGTCCTTGAAGCCTGGATGCAAGGTCCAAGATGTGAGGAACCGGAAAGGATGGTTTGGGGCGTTTGGGCTTGGTTCTCCTTTAATTAGCAGAGGGCGATGATCACTCTGGATATGAAAAGACCTCTTCTTAATATATAATTATAAAACCATTTTTAAAATGATAACCATGGTAGAAAAAGAATTGAGTTAGAGTGTTAAAATACTACCATGGTTATAAAGAGTTTGACTTATTTCGAAAACGTCCCAAGTAGCTCAGGATGCATAAAACACCCATGGGTTTAACAATGTAGAACAAAACCTCAAGGCACAATAACTGCCCACAAGCCCAACATAATATTCATCCCACAAAGACTTAGGGCACAAGAAACACAGGGTGCTCAACCCAGCCCATAAGTCATACATCGCACACAGCAGAGTCTTATGGCCTGCAGCCATTTTAACAGTATTCCATCAAATACAGTCATCCAAACAAAAGAAAGTATACGTCAACACAGTCGTGGGCCCTAAGATGGCAATATACATAACATTACATGCCTAAACCAAAAGACTACTAGGCTATGCTCTCCTATGCCTCTGGTTTCTTCCCTTCACGTCGAGCCAAACTAGATGGCTCTCCTGAAAAGTATTGATGAATAGCGGGGTGAGACGTAAAGTCCCAGTAACCAAGTATTAATTTATGACATATACAAGTAGGATGGCAAGTTGGTGAAGTAGTGCTTAAATATAGTTTAAGAAATAAATGGTACTTTAATAGATATAATCACATAAAAAGAGTATATCTCTCCATCCACAACACAATTCATATAAAAGTACATATATGCAACAACACAATGAAATATGCCCTTCCATCACCTTGCTCCTCCTTATGACTCCTTGACAAGGACCCGGGCTTTCTGTGCTGAGTAACCCGGCCAAAGGTCACCCCACTCACATCAAGCAACGGGCCCCCTCCTGTACCTACACCGCCCAAGAATGGACTATGGTGCAAGAGGTGTCTACCCAAGAGTTCATTCTCAATTCCGGGCCAAGGAAAAGGAAGAACTACAGGGGTCTAACAATAAGGCCAAACACTGGGATCAATAGTGTAGGCATGCCGCGCGGGCTTCAAGAACAATTATCCTCCACATAACAAAATCCCATCCTCCACATATGAACCCCATGCATAGTCACAATATAAATCAAAATATCACAATCTTCAAAGTAAGATGATATAATTTCAAACAAAGTATAACACATTTTCATTTCATTTAATAACATAATACTAGTATATTAAATTCAGTACTACACGAAAACACAATTTCCAATAAAACACAACTCAAACATAATTAGATCAACATACTTCCCACTTCACCAAAATTTGTCATATAATAAAATATATTTTATTCACAGGCATACTTTTACAAATTAACTAAGAAAATAAAAACATAATAAACACCTTACAATCCAAAGCGTGTATATAAAATAAATTAACCCCGGTTACCTCTACTCCAAGCTTAACCTCACAGCTTGAGAAATAAGAGCGCAAATTACAAACTCCGAAGTACAAGATAATCTACAAATAATATAGATACAATTTAATATACATACAAATAATTAAC